AGAGGCCAGAGATGCTGTTAAACATCCTACAATGCTAGATTACAACAGTCCCTAACTCCAACTTTCTATGCACACAGTGGAGAATAATGTTGTGTTAATAAGAAGAATGTTAAGAAATCCTGAAATAGAAGGACACCAGAGAGATCAGATACCCAACCATGAGTACCAGAACCTTAATCACAGCTATTATTTAAAGGTTTCCATATGCCAAACACTGGGCTTCATTGGTACTAACTCACTTAGTGCCCACACAAACCCATCTTCTTTTTCCTGCTTCTACAAATGAAATTGAAGCTGATAGGGGTTAGAAAACATGCCCAGAATTATTCTGCTTGTAACTGGCCTAGTTGAGATTCAGACTTAGACAGCTGAGGATTTAGAATCCTAGTGTTTAACATGGCACCAATTGCCTTTCACATATAAATCAATAAATGATCCTATCTCATAGCAATAAGCAAGTACTGACCTTAAAACAAGAAGTCTCCCACTAGGGAGAGATAGTCTGCTTCTGTTCTAAGCTAGTTCTTTTGTAGCGAATGCATACATCTGGGCTTCTCAGTGTTGGTCACTGATATGAGGATGGAGAGTATGTATTCCTGTACAGAGGCTCTTTAATGAATGAATGAGTGATGGGGCAGATGAGGAATATTGGTTGGCTCACCTCTAGACAGCATGTCTTCCTCTTCTACCCCCCTGCATGAACATGAGTCCCCCAAACTACTCAAACATTCACATTTGCAAACCTTGATTGATGGCCCAGCCAAGACAAGGGTACATAGTGACATCACCTCCAGAATGAGACTTTGCATATTTGTCCTCTAGTCATGTGAGTTGGGACCAACAAGTCAGATGTATCTGATGCCTGCCCTAGACCTCCCTAAGCCCAGAAGATGAGGGGAGAAAGAAGAATCAATAAAAATTTTTCAAAATGAAGGAATTAATAAAAAAAAATTAAAAGTTCAATGGAACGCATCACCAATAGTCTAGACCACTTGGAAGACAGAGTTTCAGGCAATGAAGAAAAAATATATAACCTTGAAAATAAAGATCATGGAGAAAAATGTTAAGAGACCACAAACAGAATTTTCAAGAAATATGGGATGTGGGAAGCCACCCCTGAGCTATTTGAGCGTCTTCACTTGGCCTTGAGCCAAGGAGATTTAGGTTTGGCATTGCAATCTGTTTTGTGGCTTCTCCTACTCTATGCATTACACAATGCACTGACCTCTGTCTTTGCTTGTCTAGGGATTTGGGCGTAACCTGTTGGAAACTGGACAGCCCACCTCCTACTTTATTTGGGGAAGAACATTCTATGGAAAACCTTTGAAGTTTTTTCCACATAATAAAGCAAACACGGGCTCTAGTTCTCTCTCTTTCCAGTGTGGAAGCTCAACCCCTAAGGTGGAAGAGCTGTCCCGCCCTTGCTTTCTAAAATTACTTTCCTTGTGTGGTTTTTTTCACTATTTTCTTTTTTTAACTTTATTTTACAGCCAGCCCGCTTCACACAGAGGGACCCCAAATTCCACCAGCTGTGTGGAACGTGGGTGGGAATGGGATAACATTAAAAGGCCAAATCTAATATTCGTGGAGGTAGATGAAGCTCTGAAGTACAAACCAATGCAATGCACAATCTTTTCAATGACATAATAACAGAAAATTTCCAAATGTTAAGACAGAAATGAAAAGTCAAAGAAAAATGCAAATTACTAAAGCCTGTTGTGAAAATATCACCACAAACACTATTGAAATATGATAATAGGAAGTTATTTTGAAAACCTATACTCCAATAAGCTAGGAAATCTTTAAGACATCAATAAATTCCTAAAGACATATGACCTGAAATTGAACTGGATGATATAGAAAATTTAAACAGGTCAATTTTAAGTAATGAGATTGAAGAAGTCACCAAAAGCCTACCACAAAGAAAAGCCCAGGGCCAGATGGATTCTCAGCTGAGTTCTATCAAACTTTTAAAGAAGGACTAATATCAATTCTCCTCAAATTATTCCACAAAAAGGGGGAACCCTTCCCAACTCATTCTATAAAGCTAGTATCACCCTGATACCAAAACTAGATAAAGACACTTCAAGGAAAGAAAACTTCAGACTAATATCTCTGATGAATATACATGCAAAAATTCTCAATAAAATACTGGCAAATCACATACAAAAACACATTAAAAAGATAGTGCACCATGATCAATTGGGGTTCATTCTAGAGATACAAGGTTGGTTCAACACATGGAAATCGATAAATGTAATTCATCACACCAATAGACTAAAGGATAAGAATCACATGATTATCTCAATAGATGCAGAAAAGGCATTTGACAAAATAAAATATCTTTCTTGCTTAAAACACTAGAAAAAATAGAGATAAAAGGATCATACCTCAACATTGTAAAAGCTATATGCGACAAGCCCAAGCCCATCATTATAAATGGGGAGAAACTGAAAGTATTTCCTCTAAAAACAGGAACTAGACAGGGATATCCACTTTCACCACTTATATTAATGTAGTCCTTGAATCTCTAGACAGAGCAATTAGGCAAAATAATGAAATAAAAGGGATACAAATAAGAAAAGAAGAGTTAAAACTAGCTCTCTTTGCCAAGTGCATGAGTCTATTCAGAAAACTCAAAAAAGAAAGAAAGAAACTCCACCAGAAAACTTCTAGAACTCACCAATGAATTCAGCAATGTAGCAGGATACAAAATTAATACTTATAAATTAATTGTGTTTCTCTACTCTAATGACAAATTCATTGAAAGAGAAATTAGGAAAACCATCCCATTCACAATAGTGTCAAAAAATAAAATACATGGGAATCAATGTAACAAAACAAGTGAAAGACTTCTACAATGAAAATTACAAAAAATTAAAGAAAGAAATTGAGGAAAACCTTAGAAGATGGAGAGACCTTCCACATTCTTGGACAGTGAGAATTAATATCATCAAAATGGCCATACTACCCAAAGCACTAAACAGATTCAATGCAATTCCCATCAAAATTCCAGTGATGTTCTTCATGGAAATAGGAAAAGCAGTCATGAAATTCATTTGGAAAACCAAGAGGCCCAGAATAGCCAAAGCAATCCTTATTGAGAAAAGTGAAGCAGGAGGCATCATAATACCAGACCTAAAATTATACACCAAAACAAAAATAGCAATAACAACAACACAACCAAATAAATAAATGGGCAAAGGAACTGAACAGACATATTACAGAATAAGAAATATGAATGGTCAACAACTATATTTAAAAAGTTCAACATCTCTAGCAATTAGAGAAATTCAAATTAAAACTATATTGAAATTCCATCTCACTCTAGTCAGAATGGCAATTATCAAGAATACAAGTACCAATAAATGTTGGCAAGAATGTGGGGGGAAGGCTACATCCATACATTGCTGTGGGGCTGCAAATTGGGGCAATCACTCAGCGTGATTACTGAATCATACTGAATCAGTATGGAGAGTCCTCAAAAAACTAAGAATAGAACTACCACTTGACCCAGCTATCCCACTCCTTAGTATATACTCAAATGACTTAAAATCAGCATACTACAGTAATGCAGCCGCATCAATGTTTGTAGCAGCTCAATTCACAGTAGCTAAGCTAAGGAACCAATCTAAGGGCTCTTCAATAGATGAATAGATAAAGAAAATGTGGTATGTATATGCAATGGAGTATTACTCAGCCAGAAAGAAGAATGATTTTATGATATTTGCCAGTAAATGAATGAATCTGGAAACTATTATGCTAAGTGAAGTAAGTCGATTCCAAAAAACCTAAAGTCGAATGTTTTCTCTGATAGATTGAAGCTTGCCCACAGTAAAGTGGGGTAGTGAGGGGAAGAATAGAAGTTCACTAGATTAGACAATGGAGAATGGAGGGAAGAGATGGGGGATAAGTGAAGGAAAGACAATGGAATGAATTTGACATAATTTTCCCAAGTACATATGAAAACAACACAGTGAAACCCCTCACCATGTACATCCATAAGAATGGGACTCTTTTAATTAAAAAAAAAAAAGTTGGTTCTTCTTAGTTATACATGACAGCAGAATCCATTTTTATATCATTATACAAGCATGGAATATATTTTATTGTAATTAGGACCCCCGTCTCGTGGATGTACATGATGGTGAGATTCACTATGGTGTATTCATAAATGTACAAAAGAAAGTTATGTCAGATTCATTCCACGGTCTTTCCATTTCCTATCCTTCCCTCCTGCTTCCCTCCTGCTACAGGCCCCTCAATGACATTCTTCCATTTCCTCTTCCTTCCTCCAGAGGTATCTAGAGCTAAAGCAATTCTAGGTCACCTCTAACAGCTGTCAGTACTTAAATTCAAACTGAATAGTCACACATCCATAACTGGCAAACACGGAACTGGCCTAAGGATCATTCAGAATACTCTCTCTTTTTTAAAAAATCAGTATACGGAGACCCAAGGAGGGAAAGGGGCCTGTTCAGCTCTGTAGTGGTAGAGTCAGAGCTCAGACCTGGTCTCTGGATTCCCTGTCCTTCCCTCGTGCTTGCACTATTGGTGACTTCCGAGGAATCTCAGGAGTCTTGTGGGAAAGGGACAGGTGGTGGCAGTAAGTGAGCTCCTGTGTCTGGGGAATGTGCCTTGGAGATGGAGTCCTAGCTCCAGCTGACATAGTTCATCACAGAGAACGTGGCTTAGCAGATGTATGTTACAAAAGGCAAGAGGGGAAAATCAGGCAGAAATGGAGCAGAATCTCGAGTCCAGGTCTGGTGCTCTACTTGCTGCCATACCAGGTCTTACACAAAATACACTTGTTATAACTGTGTAAACCTATGTTTAAAAGCATTTTACAAACATGATATTCAAATAAATGTGGTTTTGTGCATTTATATATAAAACTGTTATTTCATAACTGATGCCTGAAAATACATCATTATAAATGTATAAGCTAAGTAATCTCTCTCTCAATCTCCCCTCTATTGATAGTCCCAAATTACTCTTACCTTGGTAGTACCAGAATTGGCAGAAGAATCAGCCCCATAAATTTTAAAGACTTCTTCAATTGGGATACTGTTCTGTTAAATAAAAACAGCAATATCAAGGTGTTGTCATATCTTGGCTTCTATTTTATTACAAAACAAAGCTATCAGAGCTTGTTTGTCTAGTACTATATGTGGTGTCACAGGCACTAAATAACTAACTTTCAAATAAATGAATAAGTCAGTCTTCCTGATACCAATTAGTTATGTCCCTCATTCTTATTTTTTTGTTTGTTTTTTAAATAAATGTTCTTGTAGTACAGTATAGAAGTCAAAATCTTTTTTATGATGTTATTAAAAAGGAAACATTTGCTATTAGTAGATGCTAAACATTTATAAACATTGGTCAAAAAATAACATATATGCACAATAACATATAAATGCACGTAGTGGATATAAGATACTAATACATGCAGTGCTCTTTTCTTTACCATTAAGATTCCAGCATAAGATGATAAAATCATTGCTTCTCTTTCTCTGTGGTTTGGATATCTGGGTCGATCATGAAGAGGCATTTTCCTAAGGGGGGATATAAATAAATAAGAGCGGAAGATTTATTTGTATTCCTCATGACACTCGCTAAGTCTGTGATAATAATCCATAAGTAATTTGCATTGGCTGTGTGCTACCCACTTATTGATAAAAAAAATCAATGTGATTAATCCTCCGTCAGTAATACCACTTTGAATTTTTAATCTTCCAATGTTGATGATGAATTTGTCCTCTTTATTCATGTCTTCATAGTTATCAAACACTGGCAGACTGGCCACTGTGGCAGATGTTGCTGGCTTCAGTATCTTTTTTCCTGATTGTGGTAATTTGCTTGTGGTGAACTGCCTAACCCCACTGCAAGCTTATGTGCCTCTAGGAAGACCAACCACTCCCCTAGAATCCAAGAATGGAAGGAGCACTGTGGACTAAGCTAGTCAGTATATCCCCTGCCCTGTCCACCCAGAGCAAATGGGGCAAAAGGTAGGTCGCAGGGACATCAACTGAGTTTTGTATGAAACCATGCCAAGCACAGACTTGTCTACAGATCTCTGATAGATGCAACTTGTTTATTCCCTCTTAAGTTTGTTCAAACTGAATTTTCTGATTATTACAACCAAATCGAGCTGCTACATTCCATCCAGGACCAGATGTATAGTCCAAGGCCTAGGGACAGAAAAAAAATAACTGGTTTCTGGAATAGACTACTTCATCCTGACCTTGTTAGTTCCCTCTCGTATCAACTAAGTGCCTGTCTGACACTACATGTGGAAGAAAATGCTAATAATCCTGGAAAGGAAATTATTTCATGATTCAAGCAGCTTGGCTCAGGTACCTATCTGCTTAAACTCTCCAGAGATTGGGTTTGACAGTCCTTAGGAAAAGATTGCAGTTTCCACCCACCAAATGGATCATTTTGAAAATCACAGCTTGTACACAAAAAAGCATGGGTCATGTTTCTCAGGTGGGATGTTTATGCAAGAAGTTTTTTTTTTTTTAATCCGATAGAAACCAATTGGTAGAAATGCAAAATATGTAAACACATCTCTGACTTTATTAAGTTGACAAAGATGGGTTTTTTTCAGGTTTCTAGTTGAAGGGGGATAGTTACCCTGGAGTATATTCAAATCAGAGTGCCTATGAGTGAAAGATGCCAGATTGAGCTGGAACTTCCTGCACCATTAATCCAAGTCAGATGTTAAACAACAACAACAACAACAACAAATGTACTACAACTTACACTTCTTCCCACTTCAGCCAAGTTAAATCTTCGGAGTGATCCAGCCATTGCAAAGCAACGCTGATGGCCAAGTCATAGTGTGCCTGGAAGAGGGAGCACAGACAGCAAAGGAGAAGCCTGAGACACTGACCACGGGACTCCCTGGGCCCAGCGACGATGGCACTGCTAAGCCTGCTCTATTTTTTCATGTCCAAAAGGGGAAGGATTATTAGCTAAGCCTCATAACCTGATGCTCAGCCAGAAATACTTCAGGATCTTCTGACATTAAATTTATCTTCCACTAGAGCAATAATTTGATTCGTGTGGTTCCAAAAAGAAAGAGTAGATTAGTGGAAAGAATATCAACCCAGGAATGAGGGAATCTGAGTTCAAATCTGGGTATTGCCAACAACTCATAGTCTATCCTTGGAGTGAGTGATTGATGCTCTCTGGGCCTCAATTTCCTTAAGTTTTAAAATAGAAAAAGGTAAGAGTAGGGGAAGAGGGCCAAAGAGAACTTCTGATTCTGGGTGACATCAGAAATGTGCTTCCAGGGTATAGGGGAAGTGCTGTGGGAACTTGGAGGCAGGGACTCTTGTGTCTACCTGGGCAGGTGGTGCAGGTAGATGGTTTCAGAGAGGGAGCTTTCTCAAAACTAGAGCTTGAAGGATGAGGACAGTTTCCCAGAGGGACATCCCAGTGGAGGGACCAACATGAGCAAAGGATTGGAGGTGGACCTGATCAAGTGACACGCAGAGTCACACATAGTGCTTAAAGCTGAGGGACAATTTGAATGCTCATTTATATTCTAACAATGACTTTTCCCTGGTAATTTCTAAGAGTTTTTTGTTTAGTGAGTATACCATTTATCTCTCCTCCTCATCCCCAAAGAAAAGGGAAAGTTGATTTTGATTTTTGGGCTCTAAGGTTCTAACATTCTCCAAACAATAGAATTATTTCTTCCAGGCACTGAACCAAACTGAAATGTGAATCTAAATAAATAAAGAGGGAAAATTGGATAGTGCTCAGTTTTGCAACCTAACCCAGGGTGGGAAACCTGGATCAGCAGCATTGGATTGCTTATATGCTCATTAGAGATGTAAATTCTCAGACTGGCCCAGGCGTCCCAAATCAAAACAGCATGGCAACAATAAAACCTCATTAAAGTTTGAGAAGCACAGTTCTAATCTATGTAATTTCTCTGTTCAATATGTGTCCAGAGAGAATCAGACTAAACTCTGCTCCGAGGAGTATTTGAAAAGTCAGTGAACATTGCTTTAATCAGAGCTGGAGGAAGAGGGGCAGGGAAAAGAGAGATTCTTTCTTCCTTCTTAGTGCAAAGGTAAGTAGTGGGCAGAGGAAAAGCTGGGGGAATATGAATTTCTCTTGGATTAGAACTTTCTACTAATTTCTCTTGGATTAAATTTTTTCTAATTTGGATTAAATCTTTCTAATTTCTGTGTCATGAACTTTGAGAACCTAACCTGGATCTGGGTTTCAATTTGAATAACACAAGGGATTTTACGATTACACACTGCTTTGGTTTGTTTCCCCCACCCCCTTATCATGCAGATGATGAGGAAATGAGAACTACTTGGTAGCTAATTTTGTCAAGAACTTCTTAATATCTTGAATGCAACATTTTACCGTGCACTCACTTGCTTTTTCATCTTTTCTCCCCTAATAGGACTTTTATTTTCTCATCCTGTTTTTGCTTTCAGTTTAGTGGGTCAAAATGATCATACGGACAATGTCAGGATGAGGAAAGATGAGGAAGAGGACTGCGTGTGCACATGTGTGTGCGTGTGCGCGTGCGTGCGTGCGCCCCATTCACTCCATAACCTCAATCCTGGTTCTGCCCTCTTAATACACATAGAACACAAATGTGAGCCACGTCAGCATGCCTTTCTTTACCATATCATCTAGAAAGGTGGGTTGCCTTCTTCCTTTTGGATCAAATTCATTTTCCCGAAGTCTGATGCCAATATAATCTCCCCTTAAAAGCAAGAGAGCAGCATTGAACCATTGTAGGTGACACAGGATTCAGTCTGCCGACAGAGGCTTTCTTCCCAAACCTTCCCTCCCAGACTGAGATACAGCAGAAGTGGCCGATGACCTGGTAGCTGCCTTAATATTCATTTTCAATTTACACAGCAGTCTTGCCATGCTGCAGGTTTAAAAGGCCTAACCATAATTAACTTCAATCACATTTATCTGAAATTAAACTCATGGGAACAGGATTTACAAGAAAGCATAAGCATACCAAATACCCACACACAGAAAAAGTTTCTTGCAAAAGTAGAGTTGAGACCCACTATTTCACGTGAAGATTCCTTTTCAGTTCACGCTAAATTCAGGCAGAACATCCAAAGCTAGTAAATTCCAGATATATAAAATGCTATAAGAATGTATTCTTTTATGCTAATCTTTCTGCATTGAAATTCAAATGCCCTTAGAAGGAATTATGCATGAAAACTTTTTAGTAATTCCATGTTAGTGTATTCTCGTTAGATTCTTTTCTAACCATAACTTTTAATAAAAGGAGGGTAGACTAAGCACCATGGGAAAAGAAAAGAAATGGGTTCTATTGTGGGAAAGTCGGAGAGAGGAACTGGATTCAGGAAAAGGACTCTGGTGGCTTCAAGATTGATATCCAGAGACCTTACTTTTTTATATAAGGTCAGTTCTGGTTGTCTATTTACCATACTAGGATATTTGGACTAGTTACTGTGTGGAGGGTAAGTTTGTTTTTGGCTTTTAAAGCTTTCTTCTGAGTCCTTAACTTTTCTAGATTGATAATATTCTTGAATTTTTGCCAAGTTACCTTCCAAGAAGCCTAAATCTATTCTTTGAATCTAAAATTATATTTATGTCAATTTTGAAATTCCATTATTTGGATGACATATATAGAGGAGTCAGCATCCTTTTTTTAAATTTTTTTTTAGTTGTAGATGAACTTTTATTTTATGTATTTATATGTGGTTCTGAGGATTGAACCCAGGGCTTCATACATGCTAGGCAAGCGCTACACCACTGAATCACTACCCCAGCCCTGAGAGTCAGCATTCTTGATTGTCTTGTTTATTATTGTATTAGCCTCCAAACACATAAAAGTAAATGTATGCAAATTCACATATGGCATATTCCGGCATTTCTGAAGGACGTAGTAAAAGACAGTTAACTTTGTAGGCAGAGAAAGGACATTTGATGGGGTCTGAGATAACATCTGATGAAAAGGGATTTTTATTGTTGTGCCTATAATACATATGAAATAGAATATAATCTTTTCCTAGCTTCTTACATGGTCTGTGATTTTCCACCAACATTTGTTAAGTACCAAGTCAAAGAAAATCTACAGAAGAGGAAAAAAAATTTCATGCTGACTTGATGTTTTCGGTCCCCCCCCCCCCCCCCCCCTTTTTTTAAAAATCAGTCATCAAGAAAAAGGAAATGAATTATTTGGTCGATAAGGCTGCCAATAAATGCTGCAGAGGCAGCAGTTTAAATGCTGGATCCTTGGATACATTTTCCAGGAATCTCTCCTATATCTTTTACCAGCAGGGCCAGCCCCTTTCGATGGTGCATACCGTGCCCTGCTCTGCTCCCAGACTGTAGAATGGGGACACCTCCAATCTGCATGCTGCCAGCAGAAACATCCTCCTGAGAGATTTGCACTACATTTGAGATCTCTCTGGCAGGAGACAGGCCAGATCATCTTCTGGCTTTCTCCTGTAGTGCAGGAATAGTCTTCCTTAGCTTTTTACCCGCCTGCCAACATCCAACCTTCTATGACAGCCCACCAAATGCCAAGTGTCATAAAAGTTATTCTCAGTCATACTTACAGGAGCTTTTTCATTTCCTTTTTTACAAGCCTTCTTTCCATGATTAAAGGCTTATCCAGCTGAGCGAGTACCTGCAGCTTACACTGCACCTGATGTCTTTTGGGAAGATCCGCCTCTCGAAGCCTAGAAACTACAGCAGCAAATCAGAGAGAATTTGAATTAGGGATGCTGTCTCTCCAAATACCAGTCATGGAGTCCTAGATTCTGGAATGGATTGAGAATGTGCCTCTTGTCCAGCAGGCTGGGTCAGAAAGCTGTCTGAAGGCAAGTGCACTGTACGTTGTATTTATCTGACAACATGCATTCCTTCCAAGTTTTTCTTACACTTATCATGTACTTATCCTTACAATAAGCCAGCAAGTAATTGGCTATTTTGCCAGAATCACGCAAACCTTGATGGCTTATGATCTGAATCTGTTGGAGGTTTTCTGTGTGTGTCAACATTAGTGACTTCAGGGTGCTCACCCTAGCAGGATGGCTCCTAATGGAGTTTTCTTGAAACCTGTCCATAACCTATGGCCAGGAGGTCCTTGAAAGACCATGTGATTGTGGCGTTTTCAATTCCCAGCCTGACTGAACCAGAAATGAAAGATCAGGAGATTGGGTCAAAAGTGATGTAAAGTCATTGAAATGAGTTTATACAAACTCATCACTATTGAATGGGTACCAAGGGAGAATTATAAATGGGAATCAAGTTTATCACTAAAGTTGAATCCAAAATCTTTAAAATGATTTGAAGTACATTGTGGTGGTTCATTTTATGTGTCAACCTGTTTGGGCTACTCTGCCCAAATATTTGATCACACATTATTCTAGATGTTTCAGTGAAAGTGGTTATTTTTTGGGGGGTAGGGTGAGATTGACATTTAAATAGGTGGGCTTTGAGAAAAGCATTATCCTTCATAATGGGAGTGGACCTCATCTCAATCATTAAGTGAAGGACTTGAAAGTCTAAAAGAATAAGACTGACACCCCACCCACCTCAGCAGGAAGGAATTCTGCTAGCAGGTGGTCTTTGCATTCTAACTGCAGCTCTTCCCAAGTCTCCAGCAGGCTCATCTCCCCCATCAGATTGTGAATGTGAACTGACCAAGCCTCCACCATCTGGTGAGTCAATCCCTGCATGCTGCCAGCAGCAAATATATATATATTTATGTGTGTGTGTGTGTGTGTGTGTTCATAGGATATTATTTGTCCTATCTCAATTCCTTCACAGGAAGTGGGCTTAATTAACTTTAAAGCTTAAAAAGTAAAAGATTTAGCATTTGAATTTCAGACTTATAAATTATAAAATTTGCATCTCTGAGTTGCTGTTAGAACCCCTCCCTCTATTCAAGGTGGCATAATATAAAAAGGCTTAAGTATTAAAAATATGAGCATCTCCCACTCCCAAACCACTAGGCTGGAGGTCAGGAGAAACTGTGAGGCCACCAACTAGCTGTGTCACCGTGAACAGATGAATTTGCCTCTCTGTTTTTTCATATTTCTTCCTCTGCAAACATTGAATGATGGGAAGTTTCCTTCTAACTATAGAATATAGTAACTTACATGCATTTAGCAGCCAAGCCTAGTTGAGAGAGGGACATTTGTAAAGATTATTCAGTTAGATTTGGATTTTGCCCATCACCCCTCTTTTTTGTCTGTGGAACTTCAAAGAAAACAAGGCCAAGGGCTGCAAACACACACAAAAGAGGTACTGGAAAGATGTCAGCTGCCTCAGGCTTTCGTTCTTTCATAGGCACAAAACCCCCAGAAGTCACAGCCCCCATATTCTGTAGGGCTACCGGTGCTGAGGAATGTATGTACATGCCAGCCCTCCCTCCGCTGTGCAGCTGTGATACGCCTCTCCTGCTGGGTTCTATCAGGTGCCTGGATCTTAACAAAGTCCCCTTCAAGAATCTCTCACCCACTGGAGCGGACTGCAGTGCTTTTGTTCTTTCTCTGCTTTGGAGGCAAACGTGAGCATCAGCAGCAGGCGTGGGCTGGTGCCCACAGACATCGGGAAAACAGATGATTTTTCCTGGTTGCTAGGAAACTATGACTGAATGAAACTAATGGCTTTAAAACTCTCCCCTCCTCCTCCCCCCCCCCCACACCCTGAAAGTGGGGGAGGCGCTCATAGACTGGAGACAGGATTGTGATCCTGACCTGAAGTTCAAGTATCTTTTTACCTGAGTAGGCTTATGTGTCATTTAAATGATTAATCAGAAAAGCAAGTCAATGCGAGAAGATTCGAGGAGTCCACTCCCCCCAGGGTTTTTTTTATAGCATCTGGCTGCAGACATAGGAGTCTGACCAAGCAAGGATTACTGGAGAGGCCAGTGAAACATGGGCTTCTTCGTAATACAGGTCCCTAAAGAAGCACCCCCAAAGAAGGGTGATTCTAGCCAGTGACTCCAGATGCAGAGCAGTAACAGTCCTAGGAGCCATCACGTGGGTCTAGCCATCACCTCCCCTCTTGCTGAGTGGACGCCCTATTCCCACACTTTCCTCTTTATCTTAAACCCTTGCCCCTTGCATAGAGTCTGTAGAGAACAAAATTAGAACAAAATCCTAATTCCTGACCATGGCTTGTAAGTGTCTCTTCTACATTGCTGGACAGAGGCTGAGCTTGCTGCTGTGGCTAACCTAGGGCTGGGTGTCTGATATCAATACTGCTTAATCCTCATTTTTACTTCTCTCCACTGACTAAGTCTCTTGGTTACGTAGGAGAGGAAAAATATCTTTTCCTCTGCCATCCTGGGTTCATGACTGAGAGCTCTCTAACAATACACAGACTAACAAAAGGAAACATTCAAATTTATTTATTATAAGTTTTACATGACATGGGAGCCTGCAGAATGAAATGAAGACCCGAAGAAACTTACCTTGTGTACTTTTTTTTTAATCTTTAGTAGACTATCATTGTGCATTGTGAGCCCCAGGGGGTATGATCTCATGATAATCAAATGGGAAACTTAAAAAGCCTGTTTGTTCAGATGCTTCTCTGTGTCTCTGTGTTTTGGGCTCCTTTCCTCCACATCAGGGGGGTTACCTCTCACATGAGTGTCTGAGGATCTGCTGCAGGGGAAGGTTAGAAAATCCTGCTAGGTCTCATGGCCTGTGCGTGGGGGGAGAAGAAAGAGGAAAGGTCAGAGTGAAGATCTTATTTCTATTGCTGTCTCAATGCTTATGAAAGCTCCTATGTCATGTAAAACTTGAATTTAAAAAAATCTGCATGCCTTTCTCTCTCTACCTTTTGCTAGAAGGGCTTCAGCCATGGATCCAAGATTGGTGCAGAAAAGACAGTCTCCTCCCTATAGCCAGCTGATAGTAATTTGGGTATTTGTATTTGGTAGGGGATGGGCTGCATGCACAGACTGTGTAAAGTAAAGTAACCCATGTGGGCATAGTATTTTTGGCATTAAAAAAAAAAAACACAGACGTGATTTAGTAAAACTTCTCTGTGAACACAAGAGATTAGTCATTCTAGGGTAACAAGGTTAAGACTGTGCTCACCCTTGGATTTAGGCATGTCTGGGCACACCTGGGCAAGTCTGGAGGACCCAGAGCTGTGAGATTATCAGGATCATATTTGTATCAGTGGCTCTCAACATTGGTTGTGCTTTAGAATCACCTGAGGAACTTTAAAAACTCCCAAGAACAGTAAGCTAAGACTCTCTGAGGGTAAGTGTGGGAAGCCAAACTAGGACATGACTGTGTCTGACTCCCCTGCTGACTGGTGTGGCATCCCTCGGTCACACTGTGATCTGGAGAGCCTGGTCTTCTAGGGTGCAAGCGACTGTGTCTTCGTGCAGGGGCGTGCCTTCCCACATCCCCAGGGATCCAATTACCTCACCTGTCCTTGTAACCCTGCCCCCCTTGACCTTCATTGGATGGGAATTCCTAAGAATTTAGAGTCCCTTCTAACAAAAGTCCACTCCAAAGTGTGCTTCCCTCTCCCATTTGGAGAGCTTGAGGTCAAGGGCAGAGGACCTGTCCCGGAGCTTGGTTTAAAGGTAAATTGTGTGTCTGTGTTTTATTATTAATACCTTGGGAATTTTCCCCGAGTGACCTGAGTTAGCCGTCTGTGCTGGATGCAGGTGGCAGGTAAGGCTGAACTATCCTATTCTTTAAGAAATTTCTCCATGGGCTCTGGTATACAAATAAGGTTGATAACCAGGGATGCATATGACAATCAGGGATATCCTAGGTGATGCTTCATTATTGCAGTTGCTCTAATCTTTATCTTGGGAGCAAATTTTCTTCACTTATTTATAAAGACATAAGAAAGAGATGGACCACTCTTTCTCCCATCATTATTATACTAGATAGGACACCCAGCAATTGAGAGCCAACTTAGTGCCAGTCTGAGGATGAAGCTACTGTGTGGATGAGGGCAGAGTCAAAGTGTTACAGAGTGCTATTACAGACCACCCACATATATTGAGCCAAACTGAAAGAGGAAAAAGGTCCTGTAATGAGCATGCCAGGCAAGTAGTTGGGAGCAGGCTAGCACCTCAAATCCCAGAACCTGAATTTTGGAAGTACAGCGTTTATAAAGGCAAAACCAGAGGACAGTTGAGGCAACTGTAGGTTAGAAAAGACCTTGTTGAAACATATTTTGATTACATGAGAGACCTGTTTTAATTACACATTTTTGTTGTACTTCAGGGCCATAATCAGATCAAAGTCCTACTGTACTTCAACATAGATACAGCTGTCGGGAAGCTGAAAAGAAAACATGTTAAACAAGCATAAAATGGAGTCAGGTCAGAACAAAATGGCATTGCTTTGGTTCTTTTCCATTTCAAAAGAATTTCCAGGTATGTGTTTTTATGTTTAAACTTCTTTTGTTTTAAAAAGAACTATTTTTAAAGCCAACTTTAGTTGGAGATTGACAGCAATTTTAGCCAAAGCTATCATAAGTAACACCTTCCTCCAATCCAACCTTGAAATTCACGCCAGGGTCCTCAGTAGAAGGGCATGAATAAAACAAAATAGTGAATAAAAACAAAGTATATTTTCCCTGTGATTGTAACATCAAAACTCTTGAGATAGA